CAGGCAATCTACTCACCTCAGCCTCCCAAAGTGTGGGATTACAGGCTGAGCCACCGAACCTGGCTAAAAACCATCTTTAATTACCTGTATTTACTCACCTTTTGTCTCTACTCCATTGTAAAAAAACTTTTAGATTTGACTTCTGAAACATCACACTACTGTCTTATCCACTCCAACCCACAGTCACTTGTTCAGGCTCCTTATCTGTTATTTGCCCCAGTATATAATGTAGCTGGGTTTCTATTTTTAGTTATTGGTCCCTTCAATCTATTGGCTATACTTTATATATATTTATTTTTTCAAAATTCAACTCTGACCATCTGATTTCCCTCTTTAAAAAAAAAAAATCTTACTATTGTCTACAGAATAAAGAAAAATCACTTTAGCATGGTATAATCAATTGCTCACAGTATGGTTTCAATCTGCCTCTCTTCTATCTCATTCTATATCCCTCTCTTAAAAATTAGGTCACATCCTGGGGCACCAACAAACCCTGCAGCTTTGCACCTATGCCTATGTTCACACCTAGAATATTCTCCTTTCTTTCTTCTTCTCCTGCTGACTCCTACTCATCCTTGAAAATCCCACTATTTCACCAAAATTATGTGCAAGACAGTGAACTATACAGGATGGAGTGTAGAAAGAGAAGTGAAGAAATAATGGTACCAAGCAGTAGATAGGCTCTGCAAGAGAGAAGCCAATATATTAAAGGAAGGATGTTTTAATTGGGAGATTAGGGAAGATTTCAGAGAAGAGGAAGATTTGCTCAGGGACTTAAAAGACTTTTAGGCTTTTAACAGATAGGGTTATCTGTTAGATAGGTTAAAATGGGGACTCTGGTACTGGTGTGCTGTTGTATGTGTGTTGTGTGTGAATAAGTCAGTGCTCCTTGGAGAACTTGGTGTTCCATGAAGCTGCTTCAGGGGCTGGGGCTGTGTTGGGGTGTGGGAGGATAACAAGCTGTGTGAGCTCCAAGTCCCCTGCCCTTTTTATAAGTAGAACAGTTTCACTCTGGTCTGCTTTAGATGTGCTCTCAGCCAGAGTCAGTTCTGCCTCTCTGGGAGACATTTGGCAATGGTTGGAGACATTTTTTATTGTTACAACTGGAAGTATTATTGGCATCTGGTAAGTAGAGGCCAGGGATGCTGCTAAATATCTTATAATGCACAGCATGTCTGGCCCAAGATGTGAATAGTGCCGAGGCTTAGAAACCCTGCATTACACAACCATGCACGATTTTGTTTGAAGAACGAATTCTACGGTTAAATCAGAAAAACCCTGGGGTAAGCAAAAACACAGAAGTAGCAGCATGTGGGTCTTGTTCAGGGAACAATAAATTATGTTAGGTTGAAATACAGGGAAATAGTGGAGATTAGGTTCCAAAGAGATGGTAAGCTCAGAAAACAACAGCAGGGCCTCCAAACGGGCACCATTCATGTCGTGTTTCATACAATATTCCTGGAGTTATGCAACTCAGGGGTCCCGTGTGGGAGGTCCTGAATGCAGCTAACAAGCTGGGGCTTTGCTTTTTGGAGAAGAGATGGCATGCAATTACAATTGTTCTGCTCAGGGTTAGATGATATCCCAGACCTTCATCTATAAAATGGTGGTCATAATATCTACTTTGCAAGACTTTGGGGAGGGTGGAGAAAAACAGAGATAATAAGTGTAAACATTGAAAACTGAGTTGGATACATTGAATCTGCCACAGTAACTATTTTATGATAATGATGATAGCCTTAAAGAACACTCTTTCACTTTTTCTCCATGCAGTGGGAAATCTTTGTTGTATATTACTCCTCCTAAAAGTTAGAAATTCTACCATTGTTATTTCTTCCTTTCTGTCTAATCCCTTTCTAGCGTGCTTTGAAAACACAACCATCTCTAACTTGAGGAGGAGTTCCAAATACTTTGGGTAAATTATTTTGCTAGATTGCTTTCTACAGACCTGAAAAAAAATGGTTTCTAACAGAATTTGTGGAATTTGGAGAACAGAGTGGCAGAGAAGGGCAGCAAGGGCAGGAGAAAGGAGGGTAGGGTTCCAGGGCAGAGACTAAATTCATCAGAGAAGCCACCGCACAGGTCCCCAGGTGGCTTGCCCTGAGGCAGGAAATCCATTGTTTTGTAGTCCTGCAGCCAGCTCTGGGTATTCCCAGAGAGGTCCCTGAGCATCTGCACCCCAGACTTCCTGATTCCTTTGCCAGAAGGCAAGGTTTTTCACCTCTCAGGTTGAAAGCCTCTAAGTCAGTGCCACGGGGAATGGTGCAAGGTCTTTCTTCCATCTGGCAGTTCCTTCAGGATGCCTACACCTCCTTTTCCTTAAAAACCAGGGAAGTGACTGCATAGATCATGTGTCAATATGTTCAACCGTTGCCAGATGCCTTTTCCCATTCTTCTGAGTACTTTAAAGCCAAATACAAACATTGTGGGTGAAACGTGCATTGCAACACAGATATGCTCAGGAAAACTTGCAGTAAATCGGCAATTTTAGTTGTTTATAATTTAATATAGTCTGAAAGCAAAGGATGTATGAAATGAAGGTTCACCACACTGATGGGAAAAGTCATATTTTACAGATGTTTTTCTTTAAAGATGAGCACATGATACTGTTGTTTTTTTTTTTAAAGAGGAGCTGGATCTTGTTTTGTGCAGTTTCTAGGTAGAAAATAGTCCAAACACTGCCAGACCAGATTGCTCCAGTGCTGGCTCACCAAGCATAGGTAATGTAATTTGATCAAGACAGACACTGGTTTTGTGAAATAAGATCTGTGGTGAGTCCTAATTCTTTATTTGCTTTTCAGGGTGTGATAACCTTGGATAAGTCATTTTAATCTGGACCTCAATTTCCTTATTTGCAAATTGAAAGTAAAAATGCCAGCTTCAAACTTGCAGTCAAGCTATTAAAAGCAGAAACATTTAAAAAATAGGTTAATCATAAACTGTTATACAAAGCAGAGTCAGGATTGATGTTTTAATTTATTATTATTATTATTATCTTTCATCAGTATAACCTGGAGGGTCGGAAACTTCAGGTAAGATCCAAGATTGAAAACAAAAGCAAATAATGTCAGAGATTGACATGAAATAATTGTGAGACAAACAAGTCTACAGAGAAAGAGGTAAAATTGGAGGCATGGAGACTGAAATATTGAAGTAAGCATGGACACAAAAGCAGAGAAGTGAGAAGTACAAACACCAAGAGACACAGAAATGAGAAGCTCCAAGTCAGACCTCAATGAAAAGCCAATGACCTCATCCTTATCTCTTGCTGAAGATGGAAAGGAAGATGGGGACAAACCTTTCTTGTCTTTTCTTAGATTCAAGATGCCCTAGACCTAAGTCATCAGGATCACTTTCTCTGGGTCTTGCGCTGCTGGGATCTTGCCTACAACCCAGCATGACACTCATATGCATGTGTTTTTGAAGTTCTGTTCTAAGATGGCTAAGCTGGAGCTGGCATCAAACCTAACACTTCTATCACAGTCTGAAGTCCAGAAAATAACAGCCATCTGACATTAACCCCTCCACCCATCACATCTCCCATTTCCACATGGCCAAGAGGCACACACCTTATTTGCAAAAGGACTTATCTAACATTCTCACCTGGAATGCTTATGTTTCCTTCCTGCTTCCATTCTACTTTGCTCCAATTAACATTACTCTCACTGCAGCAGTTCAAAGACACAGGATGGTCACACATCACCTTCATGTCCTCATTTGCCAAAATCCGGATGGGAGTCACATCTATTTTTTTTCTGGACTCATATTCAAAAATATCTAGTATCAGTTTGCAAACATATTCACCTGCATAAGATACAAAAAATCATTTATTATTACTACATATAGGTATCTCCTTAGATAAATGTAGCCTCATCTCATGTGTTACGACAGAACTTCATAAAGCATCATTTTCAAAAGCATCTGAGACTTGGTTCAAAAACTTTAAAAAATTCCAGAATTCAGGAAGTGCAGATGTTCCTAATTCTACAAAGTAGAATAGAGAGATATTCTAAGGAAATAACAGAAATCATTGGGACTTTGCTAGTTAGAAAAAAGTGTAAGAATGGAAATGGTGAGAAAGAAAACTAGAAAGCCTTAGGGAATTAGGAGATCGTGAATAACATTGGCATCCTATTTAACCATGTGGTAAAATCAGAATCAATAAATATGTGAGAGGACCCAAGTGTCTACAGCCTACCTTTTCAGGCAGAGAAAAGGAGACAAGCCTTTTGACATCGGGGTTAGAGTGGGGTTATTACATTCTAGAATGTGTCTGGTTCATCACTAGTTTCCGTGAAGAATGAAGACACTCTTCAGTGGCTGCTTGGAGTGGGAAGGAGGGCTGACAAATTCAGAAGAGAAGCCTTATGGTAGAAGACAAGAAAACTGAACTGTGGGGGAGGAGGTGATGGATATATTCACTCACTTGATTGTGGCATCAAAGCATGTTTAACTGTGTACTTCAAATATGTGAAGTTTATTATATGTCCAATTCTACCTCCTACAGCGACTTTAAATTGTGTAAAAATCAATTGAAAATTAAATCAATGAATAATAAAATAACGTTATGCACTAAAACATAATAATGAAGATACAATCATTGATTTAAACTTAATTAGCAATTAAGGCCACATGATTAATTTTCATTTTGAAAAGTTGAGTCAGGAGACTTCTTTTTGCAGAGAAAACTGCTACCTACATACTACATGGCTTGCCTCTCTGCAAGTTCTTGATTCTATTCCTCGCACAGGCCGCTGAACAAAGACCCACCCGCATCACCCGAAGTGATGTTGTAGATGGTGAGGCTGGAGACTGAGGTCATGTTGTTGAGCACGGCCGTGTAAATAGAGAATCTGCTGCTGTTCTGGATGTCGAAGCGTTGTTCGACGTGGTGCCAAGACACGTTGGAGGACAAAACTTCGTTTTCACACACCAGACTGACTGTGTCCCCTTCGTGGATTATTTCTGGTGTGACAGAGATCTTAGTTTCATCTGGAAACCCAAAGAAAAGGTGCAAAGATTTTAAGGCAAATAAATATTAAGTGATGCTACTCGCTAGACGCCGCCACCTCGGAGATGTGGGAAGAGCATCTGTGGGTGCTGTACAGGATGGGGCAACCCATCTCCTCACCCTTTCCTCCCATTGCTGATGTCTGAAGTTTGAAGAGTCACAGCCTGCCAGATCCCAGGGTCAGGATTTCCAAGTTTGGGGATTTCACATCATGTGTTTGAAGGACATGTAGGCATCCTTAATGGTAGTTGTGGGGATTCCACAGCTATTTTCAGTATTTCAAAAAGACGGGTAGAAAATTGCACATTTGCTTATAAAAAGGTCACACACACTAACTTAAAATCAAGTTTCTTTGCTGCTGACTGGAATTGTAGCAACTGCTTCTTACCAGTAACTGATATCTTGTGCTTGCCAAAAGCTCTGACCTAAGTCTTTCATGAGTCAAAAATGGGAAAACAAATTAATTATTGATAATAACTAAAGTCTGCTTGGGAAATATGAATTTGCTTAAGCCCTGTTACCTGTGGATATGTAACAGTGGGAACTTTATAGACAACAGGCCTGGATTTGTATCCACATGTAACTGAGTGATCTTGGGAAACAGGCTTAGCCTGGCTGATCTCCACCCCCTTGTCTGGAGGATAGGAGCCATGAGAGCTACATGGGAAGGTGACTTGGGGAAACTGTAGCTATCATTATTGTTTGGGCAGTAAAAATCCTTGGAACAGTGGCCTTGTCATTTTATGAGTAAAAATAAAAACATAATATTGTTTCTTTTTCTGTGAATTTTTATGGATACTCTTTGCTTACACACATGAATTTTTAAAATTTTTAAATTTTTTCAGCCTCTAAGCTGTGTCTCTCGTGTGATGTCCTCCACTAGTTATGTGTGTTGAGGAAATCAGAGGAGCTGGAGCTAGAGTGGGAAGGCCCTAGGAGGCATCTTTTCCATGAGGCTCTCAGCTCAGGCTAGAAATATATTATAAACACAGGACTAAAACGCCCTATAATTAATTCGGAGTGGTATGAAGATCTAGTCAAAATATCAAGAAATATAAATATTAGGCCCCAGGTTAAAATAATTTTGTTTTTCAAAAAATCACATTGAACTATTAAGAAGTAAGGTTATCTGTGAATATTCAATGTAGGGCATTGGCTTTGAAGTCACACAAACTTGTTACATACTATGTGTCCTTGAGAAATGTATTTACCCTCTCTAATCCTCCATTTCCTCATCTGTGTAACTGAAATAATATCTATCTTACAGGATATATGAAAATGAAATATATGAAATTGAGCATAAATTTATCAGGAATGATTAAAGAAGGGGATGTTGTGGTTATTGGACTTGCTGAGTAATCAAACATCACCAGATGTTCAAAGTATGACAAAATAAATAGGATTATGCTTAAGATTGCCATGTGTCCTTTACATTTTATAGGATAAATTTAAAAATAAGTTCCTGGTACCAGTTTATTGTTTTAATTTTTTTTTTCTTGCTCTCTTCCACTCTTCAGCCTCCAAATAAGATTATGATTATTTAAAAAAAAATCTAGTCACATGAATTTTGAATATTTATATCCTAGATTAATAACACCAACACTATGGAGAGCAGGAGGGTGTCTGAGTTTCCCCATGGAGTTGCACATGATACAAGCTCATGTTTATTGGTCTAAGACTGTGCATATCACAGACTCACATTCTGGTCTTCAAAGGATAACAGAAGTGGACGGCGACCCTCTGCAAAAGGGGTGATTGAGTACCATTCACAATGACTTCATTGCTCTTTAGAAGAACAAGCCATGTGCTATAATTTGAATACATTTTTTCCATCAAACCACATATTGAAATTTGATCTCCACTGTTGGATGTGGGGCTTAATGGGAAGTGTTTAGGTAATGGTGGTAGACCCTCATAAATGGCTTGGTGATATCCTCAAGGTAATGAGTGAGCTGGTAGTGAAAACGAGCCAGCACTTCCCCATTTTCACTCTTTCTTCCTCTCTTGCCATGTGATCTCTGCACATGCTGGCTCCCCTTTGCCTTCTGCCTTGAGTGGAAGTAGCCTGAGGTCATCACCAGAGACCCAATCTTTCAGCGCAGAACTACGAGCCAAATAAACCTCTTTGCTTTTTAAATTACCCAGCTTCAGGCATTCCTTTACAGCACACAAAATGGATTAAGACACCATGGATACTAAAGCACTTTGTGAACTATACTGTCTGCAGCATGTTTCTGAACTGACAACCCAATCAATAAAACAGTAAATCTTTATTTATTTAAATAGTTGAGTATTTTCAACATGACTAAAATTTTGAGAAAGTGGAATCACCACTGAAGTTTAACTATGATAAAGACTACCATTCTCCGCTGTCCTCAGAATCACAAATAGAATCACATTTTTTTTAGGGCAAAGAAAGTGCATCTGTTGGTTGGCCAGGTGGAGTTGGGGGTAGGAAGGGATGGCACTGGTGATATTGTTCCTGCATGAGCCCACACTTTTAGACCACTTGTTCTCTTTCCTTTAATTGTCTTATCTTTATTTATGTGTTGCTGTTGTATTTATTTTGAATTTTTATTTTGCTATCATATCATGCTTATATTGTACCATTTTCTCAGCATTGTATACATCTCGTATGCTTTCTTTAGCTAGTTTTATCACTTTCAATATTTTATTTTTAAAATGTCCTGATGTCTAAAATTCCAGCAGGTAATGTAAACAGAAAGGGTATAAACCTGCTTTAAGGACAATCTGACTCCTGAACTAGAGGGGGGTGGTTTTTTTCTTCTATTTGTACCGACAATAGTCCTTTCAGCACCTTCCCCAGAGCAGACACATTGCCTACAAAAGGGAACCACCAGCACTCACGAACTGCTGACCTGAATTGCCCAGAATCTCTGTGGGCCCATTCCTGAGCCAGTCAAATTTTTGCCCAGTAGGTTCCCCTTAGTCCCCCAAGTAACAACAGGTTCACCCACCTACTGACACAACAGAGTACCCAACTCTGTACCCTATTTGTAAAATGAGGCAGAACATCTAAAATCCCAGAGTCCACTGTTGCATGTGACCTAAAGTAGAAGTTCTTAAACTTCCCTATGCACAGAATCACTGGAAGGGCTTGGGGTGCGCCCAAGAATTTGCATTTCTAACAAGTTCCCACGTAGTACTGATGCTGCTGGCCTGGGAGGTCACTCTCTGAGACCTCTCTAAAACAGGCACCCTATTTAGCATTGGTGTATTCCATGACTGTCCCAACCCCCACTAAAATGTTAGTTTTATTTGTGTATGCTTTAGATCTGTTCATTTAGAAAATCACAAACCCAGATGGCACTGTGCCTCCCTTGTAAAATCTCTGCACCCCTCCCCACCACACCCCAGGTGCAGTGACATTAGACAAGTTGGGAAGCACTGGCCTAACAGAGAGAGATGGTGCGAAACCCTCCATGCCAGGAACTGAAGATCCTTGCCCCAAGTGAGGTGATTACCCCATTCCCAAGTAGTGATTTTCTAAGTTTAAGCATAAAACAATAAATATAATTACCATATAGAAACAGTTTCACTTACTACTAGTAACTGCTTGAAAGGAGTTGTAGTCCATTTTGTAGGTCTGATTGAGGTTTTGTATGACTTGTTCATTGGCTTTATGCATTAATTCAGGCGATGGTGTCTTACTCCTGACTTCATATGACACAACCACACTTCCGGGCCTGGACAGAGACCACTCAGTTCAGTAAAACAGTAACTGACCGGGAAGAGTCTAGAGCCTTGTGGCTTATTTGCACAAGGAAACAAAAGAGCAGGAACATCCTAGGTACTATTATCCTCAGAGGTTTACTGAAATAAACCTGTTTTCAAAGACAGAGCTTGTACCCACAAATGTCTGCAGTCAGCTAACATAAATTAACAAAGTAAATGGAGACTAGTGAACTGAGTCTCATAAGTTGGTAGCAGCTTATGGGAGGCAGCCACCATGCAGGGTCTATTGATTGTTGTCACACAGCCATGCTGGCCAGGGATTACCAGATATACTGTAAATTACATGAAGCTAAAAATCTAGATGTTACTGTACACATTTCTGACTTTTTTTTTTTGTCAACTCAGTCTTAACTTAGTCGTGTACTGGGTAGACCCACTCAGGGTATCAGAGTACCCAAATCCAGGGTAGCCATTCCTGTTACAGCTCTATGGTCCTGACAGCCAGCAGGATCCTTTATAGAAAGACATCATTGCATGGCATTACTGCATTTTTATATTTTTGAGCTCTCTAGACCACAAATTTATCCTATATCTTTGTTAGCAAAATTCTTGCATGCTTTGAATGAACAGAAATCTTTTTTTCTCCTTCCTTCCAAATAGGTACCTCTGTAAGAGATGAGTGACCCTTCTCAGTATTTCCTATCTCTTTAAACCCCTGAAATCTGGTGTTAGTCTTCACTGCTACCAAACTGATTCTGTTGAGCATTCCATATGAATGATGCCTCTCTAATGGGTTTTCCTCCTTTGCTACCATATGAGTTCCTGTCATTGGTATATATGAGTTCCTGTCCTGCCATTGAAGAGAAATGACCAAATTATAGCATTCTTACCTGAATCCTATCACAGTCACCCCTTTGAAGCCTGGTAAAATTTGGTAACCCTTCCAGAACTGAAAAATAAAGCAAGAGAACTGTCATATGTCAAAATCTAGAGGGAGATATATCAAACGTTTTGAAACAGAATAAAAAGCACATATTTTCTAACTTCCTGGGTAAAATTATCTTCTGTATGTTTTGTTAGTGCTGGCATCAGCAGATCATTGAGAAGTAATTCCTATGTCAATCTGAGTTCTCCCAGAAGCAGACACTAGATGAAATAGGCAACAATTTACTCAGGGAAATACCTAGGGAAAAAAATGGGAAAGTAGCAGGAAAGGCATAGAGAACCATCCGACTCCCAAGTGAAGCAGAGAAGGAAGGAAGGTTTGATAAAAGCAATCTAGTTTGAGCCAGGGAATATTCAGTAAGGCCTTCCGAGGGACCCCAGTATCTGCCAGACACAGGCATGCTGTTCTCATTCATAGGCAGGGAGCAGCAAATGTGGTCAGGGATTTCAGAGGCAGTAGCTGGGGGACCTGTGTTCAGTTACACGCCCTGCAGTTGAAGGTCTGTGAAGCACGTTATCATGACTGCCAAGCTACTGGGTCCCACCCTTGACATACTGCAGCATTGACTGAGACAGTGTGGTTTTGGATGTTCCTACTCCACTTTGTTTCTCTGAATACCAACCGCTCAGGAGATTCTACTGGATGCAAGTGACATTTGCACATCAGCTGCAATGTGCAAAGCATTGTGCCTGGTACCTGAGTGGGTGGGACCTAATGATTAATATATAGCTCATTCTTTAAAAGTATATAGTCTAGTGTGTGGGAGAAGGGTCCTTCTGTTGTGCAGAAATATTGCATGCTAGATGTTTATATCAGATGTCCAAGAGCTCCTCTGAAGCACTTCATTAAGACATATTTGAGTAACACTGGGATAAACAGGCTGCTCACAGCCTGAGGCAAGGACTCAGAGACCAGAAGTGTTAAGGGAAGTCATTATCTCAGTCCACTTGTAGTAATTTGTGCCACATTATTGGGATGCTTTGTTCCAAATAAGTTAACTAAAGTAACACATTTAGGTTTAGATGAGTTAACCCAATGTTAAGCACTTAAAACTGTGCCTGGAATGCAGTGAACACGCACACAATATTCTCTATTTTTACAGAAGTGAAGTTAAATCTGTCTTAAGAATGAAATGCCTGGTGACCTCTAGGGTAGCATGGTTTGAAACCCTCTGAGTTCAGCCTTGGTTGGTTTGACCAAAGATGTTAGAGACTGCATCTATGTGGCGTGTGGAGAATAGAAATGCACAAACTGGTACTTCTAGGCAGGGTTCTTGGGTCTCTGAATAGGTTTCAGCAGATTGATGCCACTAAGTCTCATCTGGACCAGTTCTAACCTGAGAAAAAGTTCTTATAAATATAGGTCAAGGTGACGCTGCACTGTCAGCCCTGAACACTGACATTAGGTCTTCTTAGTTCACCTTCCTGGTTGTAAATGAATAACAAATCCACATTTATGAATTCTGACAGATCCAAGCATACTGTCCACTGTTAATATAATAGATTCAGTTCAACCCAAACAGTTTGTTGGTTAAGAGGCTCCCAGGGCCAAAACATACCGCTGTTTCCAAGTCGGTCTTGTAGGACCTATAGAGGGCAGAGGAAGTGTTTCTGAGGTCTTCTTGAAAGCCCACATTTAGTTTTACTGACATTCTCAGCATAATATCTGCTGGAAAACACAGGGAAATATTTAAAAATCTCATGTTCATGTTTGAATGCACACAAAAAAGAGAAATATTTGCTTGAGTTGATATTGGATATTGGATAGCCACCCAACAAAGATTTAATGAGCAGTGACTTACCTCCCTGGAGCTGGCAAAATGGTCCTTTAGGAGGCAGTTCTTTAAGGCAGCTGCATCGGTACCCTGGGAGGGAGCTGTCTTGCTCATGACAAGTGACATTGTGGAGGCACCTTTCCCGAGGCCACTCATATCCTGTCTCACAGGAGCACCAGATTTCATTTCCAGCAGGTCTGCAGACTATCATCAAACAAAATAGCAAAGAGAGAGAAGGTGGTCAATATCTTTGCATTTGTAGCCTGTAGGTATCTATTCTTGTAGAATATCCTAATTCAACTCTATGTTACCCTTCCAGGATGTTCAATAGCACTGCAGAAAATTGATGTTTACACATGTGTATCACCCTGTTATTAGTCATGGTCATTTGAAAGATGACTGCTGTGACTGTTGAGTGGCTGTCAAGTAACTGTTAAGTCATCTTTTAGATGGTCATGCCTAATAGCCAACAGCCAGTGGGTGTCTATGATGATAAACAGATTCCTGTGCATGGAGTAAATGGCAGTCAGCCTCAAGATGGCCCCAACCATCTTTGTTGCTAGGTATTCATAGCCTTTTGTAGTGCCTTCTTATATTGTTCTAGAATTAGTGTGTGACCAGTAGAATATGGCAGAAGTAATGGTATTGCATTTCTGAGAAGAGCTTATAAAAGACACTCTTCTTGATTATGCTTGTGTTCTCTCTCTCTCTCTCTCTCTCTCTCTCTCTCTGTTTCTCTGGGGAAGCTGGCAGCCATAGCATGAAGACATGTCATGGAGAAGGCCACATGGTAAGGAACTGAGTTCTCTAGCCAATTGCTAGTGAGGAACTGAGGCCTGCCAACAATCACATGAATAAGCATAGATATAGATTTTACAGCCTCAGTCGAGCCTTCAGATGACAACACTCTGACTGACCGATTAATTACAACTTCATGAGAGGCCCTGAGCCAGACCACCCAACTGAGTTGCCCCAATATTTCCGAGATAATAAGTGTTTGTTGTTTTATAATGCTAAGTTTTAGAGTAATTTGTTATGCAACAATAGATGACAAATATAGAGTGCAAGTACATTTGTGTCTTTTACACTTCAAGTGAAATGTAAACAGCCTAGATGGACTCTGCTTTTGTGGGAGACATTGAAAAATACTTTGAAAGGAGTATGTTGAATCAGCTTCCAAAGTTGAACTAAAGTTGCATCATTGGGAGCTGTCTGTCCTGCAGATGGGTGTCCAGGCAAAGTCCCACAGAGCAATCACTCAAAGGAAAGCCATCAATAATGTTTTTTGGAATAGGAGGGACAACCACGTTCCAGTGGTTCCTTGGACATGGATGTAGTCTGTGTCCTAGCAGTAAGGGGGAGCAGGCAGAAAAACTAGCAACAGAAGAAATCAGATCTGCTGATGAAAATGGTGAGCATTGGCTGAAGGTAAGTTGAAGGTAGCCAACACGATTCCATTTATAAAAATCTCTTTCTTGCTGACCTGAAATTCCACTGCTAAAGCCATTTTGTTGTTGTTATTTTTGTTTTGTTTTGCAAAGGAGGGTTGTGGAGAAGAAGAGTCAAAGAACTTATGACTCCAGGTATAATGCAAATATGCCTGAGGAGGACAACAAAAGCTATCTCTAGGTCACCTGCCATATTTGGCCATTGTTTAGTGCTTTACACATGTTGCCTTAACTTAAATATCCTGTTATATTTACTATTTCTAAAAAAGAATCATAAGCTAAGCTTTGGAAGAAAGACAAGAGAGAAGCATGGGAAGAGGGGGATGGTGAAATTGTGGGTGCTTAGATATTAGTACCATGGTCTGTAACTCTAACGTCCCTTTCATCCCTTTCACCCTTTGAGACCAGCTTTCCCCATCTGTTCCCTGCTGATTCTGAGGTCCCTGAGTCTCAGGCTTTCTGCCATGTTGGAACATCCATTTTCTCAAATCTCTTTACAGTTTGCTCTCAGAAAGGATTCACTCCCTCAATATGTGGATGACACATTCTGGAAGGATAAATTAAACCTTCCATGGGCAATTACATTTTAATTGAGAAACTTGCTAAACCAACTTTCTAAAATTGTTTACATAGTGGAGCCTCTTGAAGTCATGTCACATCTAGTAGAACAAAACAAATCAGGAGAGTTAGTATGTCTATATTATGCATCTGTAAGATAATCTCATATCTAAAGCTCAAGTATCTACCTCACAAGTTGATCAACAAAAACTGTTTATTTATTTAAGATTTATTGGTCTGTTTTGTTTACTGGATTTGCTTACTAGAATCTACAGACACCAGAGGTTTCCATTTAAAAAAAAAATAGGAAGCAAAACTGGCTAAACACTTAACCAATAGTTTATTTTAGAGGCTGAATTAGAACGTAGAAGGGTGTTTCCTATGTATGTTCCAAAGTACTCTAGTTTTGTGAGATGTTCTATGGACAAAGAGTTCTGGGTATAAACACATTTGGAAAACACATGTGCTGGAGGATTTATAACAGCCATTGGCATCCAACTGGAAAACCACTAACTCGAGGGAATCGGTCTTAATGCTAGAATTCAGTGGGAAATGGTATCCAAAGGGGGCTATAAAGGGAGCTATGACAGGTTTGAGTAGCATATATTAAAAATCAAAAATTAAAATGCACAGACTGGCATTGGGATGCACTACTTGAAATATGAGAATTGAAGAATTTGAAAAACAAGAATTTTATTCTTGCCCGCATTTTAGAATAACAAACCCAATATCCATTAGTGCTTTCCAACTTACTAAGCAATAACATTTTTATATAGGACAAGGGGCAGCCCTATCTCACAGCTTCTATGGATACCAAGTCTCAGGTGATGGTCCCTTGAGACATAGGGGAGTGAGCATGACCTTGGAAAGGAGTAAGCAGTCAGAAAGTCCAATGGCCTGGGAGATTCTGCTTAATGCCTTGCTTCTGATACAGGCATGTACCTGTTTCCTATTTCCTGATAAATGATGCCAAAGAAAAGGGAACCTGGTACTTTTTAACATCCTGAACCAGTCCTTTCTGTTTCTATTGATTGTTCAAAGAAGAGGACCCAGTAGTTTATGATGAAGGACTGGCCATATCATGGGTCACCATACAAATCACCAAGCTGACCTTTGGTCACCATCTAACATAAGAAACACCTGGCTGCAGAGTTTGATGATATAGGCTTCATCCTGGAAGGCTTTGACACATCAGGCCTATTAAGTCATTTCATTTGCCTATTAAATGTAACTTGCTATGCAAGTAAGAATCTCAGACAGTTCTTCTCCTGATATACCCAATCATCCATCCTAAAGCAATGGGTCTCTAACTCACTTGTTGTCACCTCTATGCTCAAAATGTCGGTAACTCGGTCAGTGTTGTTCTCTTGAATTGGAAAATTGAGGCTGTTCAAGTAAGCTTTGATAGGCTCCAGAAAGGATGCATTTTCCAAACTGATCTCGACATCAACAGTATACTCTTCAGCTGCAGGACTACTCGTGGAAACTGAAATGAAAACACATGAAGGCTGTAAGAATTTACCATAGGAGACAGAGATAATGAGCAATAGTTTAGCAGTGAAAGGTAATGATAAGTACCTGCTGATGCTTTGTCCATAAGAATTTCCATTTACTATTTCAGAGGAAAAGAAGAGTTTGTCTATTCACCACCTTGGTGTTCAAGGCCAAGAACTACTGTATGAAGTATGAATTGTAATGAGGCAAGAATGGAAACAGGAGCCTCTGGAAACAGCTCAGACAATGTATATCATAGTCCTGATTCACAGGCGTGAGTCATTGTGTTTCTAGTAGTTTTCAATTGATATATGTGTATTCTAAGAGCTGAACCATACATGGCTTGAAGACCTCCAGGAAACACCATTCAGTTAATTCCCCTTGCTCTTAGCCTATGCAAAGAATGTATACTCCTTGTTCTTCCCCTGTATCTCCAGTGTCCAGAACACAATAGGAGCTCAGCAGAAGTTTGGCAAATTGGAAAGTAAAATAAAAGATTTGCAGTTCTTCACTGTTTTTCAAATTATTTCTAGGTGGTTGGCTGGCTGGCACTCTAGATGGATCTGTTCCTCATCACAGACCTACTCCAGGCAGACCAGAATACATATATTCACACACACACACACACACACACACTATATCTATATCTATATATACATACACACACTCTGTCTATAATATACATAAACACTTTTATCTCAATATAGTATATACACACTAGAGAGAGAGTGTGTGTGTGTGTGCGTCTGGGAATTGTTCTTACCTAGTTTCCTATATTACGCCATGTCTGGGCCACTGCTTGTAAGCTTCCCAAGGGCAAGAACTGTTTCCTTCACTTCTGATGACCTTGCTCACTCCATCCGGTGTGGAACTTGTGAAATTATGAACATGTGCCCAATAAATCTTTGTTAAAGCTGTTACTCCCTGAGTCACGTCCCATATTCACCTCTCTGTCACAGGCAAGAATCTTTGACCCAGATTGGCTAAAATACGTAACTGGAGCAGAAGCCCTAGGCTCAGTTAGTAGTTCATGAAGAAACTTCAGAGAATATTTTACACAGATACATTGAGAATACATTGTCTTGTCTTTAAATGAGGAAAAGATTAGTGAATGCTTGCAAAACTTTTACTTTAAGATGTATGTCCCATCTAAAATTATAATGTATATTATACCATAAAATTAAAATTCCTTGTCTGCCTTCTCAAAGGGCAAACATTTTCCCATAGCATTGCAAGATTTCTTCTAAATATTCCAAGGACTATTGATGTGAAACACTAATGTAGAATAAGTTCATCATGAGAAACTCTAATTGTTAAATGTTTATTTCAGAAAGCTGTCATATTTGTTCGTTTGTCTTTGGTGGTTGGTTTTGTCCATCAACCTTGTTGAGAATGATTTCATCCTGATATCATTCAACTTGTTGCAATTAACTCAAACTACAACAAAGTTCTGTGCAGATATTTTGAAAATTAAGAATGCATTTGAGGGGTATATTTCCTCCTTATAGAGGTGTATTTACAAGTAAGATAAAGTAACTTTTAAAATGCAGTGCGGAAACTCAGTCTATTATGGTATTGCCTCAAATTTCCTGTTTTCTTTCTGATCTGAAATGATTCTGTGATGAAAACAAGCATCCTGGAAGAACAACTAATTGTCATTGGTGTGATTCTAACACTGGGAACATTGGCAAGAAGCGAGGCTGTATGGTATTTACAAGGCCTGCCTTAGAGCACATGCTTTTTCCTGAAAAGTAATGCACCAACATTTATAGCCTCCAGAGATTCACGAGCTCCAGGATCCTCTTTGCCATGACCAGTCTCCTTCCCCCCACGAATGTAAACAGGATTTCCTGGACGGTAGCTGCCTCTGGATGGGTGAGGTCAGTAACAATCCCATATCACCCACTTCATCATCTGCATTGTTAGGTCTCAGGGTCTGATCCGACAAAATATCAATGCCTGCCTGAGAGTCTATCTGGCCCTGAGCCCACCCCCCTGTACTCTTTTTAGTCATAACTGAACGAAGAACAAAAATGTGCCTGGAAATCACATGGTGATTCACAGATGTCATCTATCCGCCACTGAAACCAGAGCAGTTCTTCTGCTCAGAGTTTACAGAAAACTGGGCCAAAGGCATAAAGTGCTAAGAGGAAAGGCTCTTGTGACTTTAGCAAGTTTCGGTCTATGGGGTTCTTGCAACTACTAATTTAAGCACCAGTCTCTAAGGACCTTTTCCCCTTATCTACCTTCCATGTTCTTCAACAGCTTCTGAAAGAGTTCCAGAGCAACCCGCAGCCTGAGCATCACCTCTCCTAGAGACTAGTGAGGATGGGGCACCTCCAACAGAGAAGGACATGCCTTCTCCTTGAAAACACTCAATTCTTCAAAGCAGGTGCACAAACACCATTATAACTTAGCAGGCTGGGAGATTGCTCTTGGAAATAATCTATTCCAGTGATCCCCAGACTTGACTGATGACTATATATACCTAAGGAATTCTAAACACACACACACACACACACACACACACACACACACACACACACACACACACACAAACTTTTAGAGCCTCACCCCGGGTGAACCAAAGTAAAATAAGAAGTCTGTATTTTTTTCAATTCCTACTGGTGATTTTACTGATCAAGCAGGTTTGGGATCTAATGTTCTAATCCAAATGAAGACATGGTGAGGGGAATCTGGTGGAGACAACATTAACACCTAAACTTGTACTTTGTTTTTGCTTTGCTTTTTGTTTTCAGACACCTCCTGCTATGGCTCCTATGGGAGCAAACAATCAGGGAAAATATGTGTGAGCAAATATGCTTCAAGGGAGCTGTTGTGATCATCCCCCCTCTGATCCATTTCTACTGAATGGATCAAGTAATGATAATAAAAGTAACAATAACAATAGCAGCTGCCATCTAATAGGTTTCAGGGCCATGAGGCTTGTCTGCATACTTCCATTACGCAAACAGCAAAACTAAGGTTCAAAGAACTAAAGTCACATCAATAGCAAGTGTCAGAGCTGGGATTTGAAATCACATTTTTCTGACCATTTTCTTTTCATCATTTCCTACCACATTTCAAATGGAGGAAATAATGAACGTGACTACTTTGTAAACTAAAAACATGAGGTATTGTTGCTAAATGTGTCTTTAGAACTTGGCTCACAATTTGTAAATTAAATTTTAAAATAAAATCAAGTTCAAAGGCAAAAGTATTAATAATAAATAGAAGAATTATGTAAAACTCTGCTAAATTCTACTCAACATAATAAATGTCTTGGAAACCCACATTCAGGAAAAACGCATTGCAGCCCATTGTCATTGACACTCATGGATTTTAACATTAAGCCTTTTTAGGTTCATTTGTTTGTTCCTTGATTTGTTTATAATGTTACTATTTCTTGAGTGCCTATTTTCCAGGTGCTGCAGTAGGAGCTGGGAACATAAGGTGAATAAAAGAAACAAAGACTTGGCTTTCTGGATTTTTCATCTTTGTGTTAGAAGCAAACGATACATTTAAAATTTAATGTCAGGCAGTTCTATAGGGCGTGGGGAAAACAAAGGAGAGCAAGGAAACAGAGTGACAGGAACAACAGGAGAGAGGTGTTCGTTTTTTGTAGAATAGCTAGAAAAGACCTTTCCCAAGCAGTACATTTTGACAGAGACTTGAATGAAGTGAAGGGTGAACCAGGAAGATATCTGGAGACTTTCACTCTAGAAAGAGTAAACACGAGTGAAAGCTCTGAAATCATAACCCTCTTGACTTGTTTGAGTAATAACTAGAAGACTCTCCCACCCCCCTTCCCATGTGGATCATTTCTTCTCATCTGGAACAATATCATGGTCCATAGACAAGCAGAAACCTGCCACTGGAGCTTCTTTCCCTGTAATGCCCGGGGAAGACAGGAAGAGCATCTGAGTCACGGGAGGTAGCCCGGGTGCTCAGGTATCAGCATGACCCTCATAGGGGTGGGATTAAAGGCACACTTTACTCACTCCCTTCAGACAGGCCCAGAGTTAGGGGTTAGAAAGGCCAAACCCGGACTGCCTCCCTTTCTCAAACCTGAGGACTTTAGAGCCTGAGAAAGTGACACTTCTTGTCCTCCTCCATGATCAGAGACCCAGAAGGAACAGAGATCAGTTCCCTCATTTCTGTGTGTACTTTCTTTCTTTTTTTTTTTTTGTTTGAGTTGGAGTCTCACTCTGTCACCCAGACTGGAGAGCAGTGGCCGCTCCCGGCCACCGCAGCCTCGACTTGCTGGGCTCTGGTGATCCTTCCGCCTCAGCCTTCCGAGTAGCTGGAATTACAGTCGCGCGCTACCATGCCTGGCTAATTTTTTGATTTATTGTGGAGATGAGGTCTCGCCAAGTTGCCCAAGTGGGTCTCGAACCCGCGGGCTCAGGCAATCCACTCACCTCAGCCTCCCAAAGGCGCGGGATTACAGGCTGAGCCACCAAGCCCGGCTTCTGTGTGTATTTTCAATGCTTTTCTACCCTCCTCTTCTGCCACTAGATCATCTGACTCCTAATAGTTTAACACATTTTCTTTTTCTCAGGCTCCTTTGCCTCTGGTGTTGTCTAAACTTTTCTGACTCACTGATGCCCTGTGTGGAAGGTAGAAAATTCCAGGTGTCATCAGTGTCACAGAGGTCTATCAGCAGGCCCAGAAGGCACAAGCCAACCAGGATTTCCCCTCTCCCTTCTCATAAATCACTGACAACCACACAGCACTTATCTTAAAGGGACATTTTTGGAAAGTTGGCCACAAGTTGCAACTGACTAATCTAGTTCTTAATCACAGCTGTTTAAGCAAACAATTCTACTTTTGCCTGGAAACACTAATGGGAACTATGGCTTCTTAGAGTCAGCGCCTAGGTAGATGCACAAATTCCGCCACCTGTACAAGAATGAATGAAGACTGCTAACTTCACCCAGAAGAAAGGAGAATGGTTGTTGTGGTTTTCTCCTGACCACAGGGGACGTGTCT